TTCTGCAGAGAACATGTGCAAGGTGGAGTGAGGGGAGAGCAGACAGAGAGGAGAGGGAAAGACTCTTAAGCAGGTTCCATGCTAAGCACAGAGACCAATGTGGGGCTGAATCCCACAACCTGAGCCAAAACCAAGAGTTGGGTGTTCAACCGATGGAGCCACCCAGGTGCCCCTCTGCTTAAATTTTTTATATAATATTTAATACTACATGAAATTACCTGTAGTCATCTATTTTTCCATCTTGCCACTAGATAATAAGCTCCCTGAGAATTAGGGCTTTATTTTGTTCACGGCTTTATCTCTAGTTCCTAAAACAAGGCCAGTAGATTATCAATACAAAGTGGTTGAATAAATAAATGGATGAATAAATGGGATTTCTGAGAGACCATTTATCATGATCTAATTACCTTTTGAATAAGACCAAAGTTAGGTGTGAAATCACATGTAAGTAATAAAAGGTAATGCAAGAAGAGTTTGAACTCAACCTCATGGGAAAGGAACTCTTAAGAGAGCCATGAGGTGGTACATGTCAAAGGTAGAAAATACACTGGCTGTGAATCCTAGTTTGAGTTCTATATGATCTTGGGAGGGTTGGGCTCAGTGGACTTTCCATAAATACGTAAAACCATCTGTATTTGTTTCCTCTGGCTGCTGTAACAAGCTACCATAAACTTGGTGGCTAAAATACAACGGAAATGTATTCTCTCATGGTTCTGGAGACCAGAAGTCTAAAATCAAGGTGTTGGTAGCACTAAACTCTCCGTAAAGCCTCTTCCAGCTTCCAGTAGCTATCAGTATTCCTTGGTTTGCACTGCATCTGCTCCAATCTCTGCCTCCTTCTTCAGATGGCCTTCTCTGTGTCTCTGTTGTCTCCATCAAATATCCCTCTGTCTTTCTCTTGTAAGAACACTTGTCACTGGGGGCACCTAGGTGGCTCAGTGGGTTAAAGCCTCTGCCTTCGGCTCAGGTCATGATCCCAGGGTCCTGGGATCAAGCCACACATCGGGCTCTCTTCTCAGCAGGGAGCCTGCTTCCCTTCCTCTCTCTCTGCCTGCCTCTCTGCCTTCTTATGGTCTCTCTCTGTCAAATAAATAAATAAAATCTTAAAAAAAAAATAACACTTGTCACTGGATTTAAAGGCCACCTGGATAACTCAGGATGATCTCCTCATCTAAAGATCCTTAACCTCATTATTTCTACAAAGACCCTCTTCCCAGATTAGGTAATAGTCACAGTTTGTGATGGATAGGACAGTTAAAAGGTGGAATTATCTTTTGGGTGAAGCCACCATTCTACCCATTACACCTTCCATATTAAAGGTTATTTGATTAGAGGTGGTATAGTTGTTTATCAATAGGTATATATCCCTCCTTTCAGTTATGTGACTCCAAGGAACTTGGAGTCAAGGAACAGGCTTCATTTCATGAGTCTAGGAAAAAATGTTTAATGTCAGCGATGCCTAGTTTCATACATTTAAAGTGTTTTGTTTTGTTTTGTTTTTTAAGGATCTGTACCTGTATGGAGATGGTCTGAGGAATAGCAACTACACTTAGGAATGTCTGGTCTTACAAAATGATGAGAACTAATTCTAGCATCTTCCATTTTGCCATAATCTTCATGTTAATATTTGAGTCCAGAACCCAACTGTCTGATGAAAGTGAATTTCTAGTTAACAGATCAAAAACTGGTCTCTTTCATGTTCCCAAAGACCTATCCTTGAAAACAACAATCTTAGATATATCACAAAATTATATATCTGAGCTTCACACTTCTGACATCCTATCACTATCAAAGCTGAGGATTTTGGTAGTTTCTCATAATAGAATTCAATATCTTGATATCAGTGTTTTCAAATTCAACCAGGAACTGGAATACTTGGATTTGTCCCACAATGAGTTGGGGAAGATTTCTTGCCATCCTACCGTGAACCTCAAGCACTTAGACCTCTCGTTTAATGCATTTGATCATTTGCCCATATGCAAAGAATTTGTCAACATGTCTCAACTAGAATTTCTGGGATTAAGTGCCACACGGTTACAAAAATCTAGTGTGCTACTAATTGCTCCTTTGCATATAAATAAGGTTTTACTAGTCTTAGGAGACACTTATGGGGAAAAAGAAGACCCTGAGAGCCTTCACAACCTTAACACAGAAAGTCTACACGTTGTTTTCCCCAGAAGAAAGGAATTCAGTTTTACTTTGGATGTATCAGTCAGCACAGCAGTAAGTCTGGAACTATCTAATATCAAATGTGTGCTAGATGATAATGGATGTTCTTATTTCCAGGATATTCTGTCAAAACTTCAAAAGAATTCAAGGTTATCAAATCTTACTTTAAACAACATTGAAACAACTTGGAATTTTTTCATTATGATCCTCCAGTTGGTTTGGCATACAAGCATAGAGTATTTCTCAATTTCAAATGTAAAACTACAGGGTAAACCTGACTTAAGATATTTTGATTATTCTAACACTTCACTGAAGGCCTTATCTATACACCATGTTGTCAGTGATGCGTTCTCTTTGCCACAAAGTTATATCTATGAAATCCTTTCAAATATGAACATCCAAAATTTCACAGTGTCTGATACACACATGGTACACATGGTTTGCCCATCCCAAATTAGCCCATTTCTGTATTTGGATTTTTCTAATAATCTCTTAACAGACATGGTTTTTAAAAATTGTGGAAACTTGGTTAAACTGAAGACACTTAATTTACAAATGAATCAATTAAAAGAACTTGTAAGTATAGTTAATATGACCAAGAAGATGAAGTCTCTACAACAATTGGATATTAGCCACAATTCTCTAAGTTATGATGAAAATGAAGGAAATTGCATTTGGACTGAAAGTTTATTGAATTTAAATATGTCTTCAAATATACTTACTGAATCTGTTTTCAGATGTTTACCTCCCAAGGTCAGGAAACTTGATCTTCACAATAACAGAATAAGGAGCATTCCTAAACCAATCATGAAACTAGAAGATTTGCAAGAACTCAATGTTGCTTCCAATTCTTTAGCCCACCTTCCAGACTGTGGTACTTTTAGCAGCCTTTCTGTACTGATCATTGACTCTAATTCAATTTCCAACCCATCAGCTGATTTCTTCCAGAGCTGCCAGAAGATTAGGTCCATAAGAGCAGGGAACAATCCATTCCAATGTACATGTGAACTAAGAGAATTTGTCCAAAGTCTAGGCCAAGTATCCCGTGAAGTAGTAGAAGGTTGGCCTGATTCTTACAAGTGTGACTATCCAGAAAACTACAAGGGAACCCTGCTGAAGGACTTTCACATGTCTCAGTTATCCTGCAACACAACTCTGCTGCTTGTTACCATTGGGGTCACTATGCTGGTGTTGACTGCTACTGTGACCGCCCTCTGTATCTACCTTGATCTGCCCTGGTATCTCAGGATGGTGTGTCAGTGGACCCAGACCCGGCACAGGGCAAGGAACATACCTTTAGAAGAACTCCAAAGAACCCTCCAGTTCCATGCTTTTATTTCATATAGTGGGCATGATTCGGCCTGGGTGAAGAGTGAATTACTACCAAACCTAGAAAAAGAAGATATAAGGATTTGTCTCCATGAGAGAAGCTTTGTTCCTGGGAAGAGCATCGTGGAAAATATCATAAACTGCATTGAGAAAAGTTACAAGTCCATCTTTGTTTTGTCACCTAACTTTGTCCAGAGTGAGTGGTGCCATTATGAACTCTACTTTGCCCACCATAATCTCTTTCATGAAGGTTTTGATAACTTAATCTTGATCTTGCTAGAACCTATTCCACAGTATTCCATCCCTAGCAACTATCACAAGCTCAAAAATCTCATGGCACAAAGGACTTACTTGGAATGGCCCAAGGAGAAGAGCAAACATGGACTTTTTTGGGCTAACCTAAGAGCATCTATTAATATTAAATTGATGGAGCAAGCAAAAAAATAGATCACACATAGATCTAAAACTATTCCCTTGTTTCTTCAGGGAAAATGTTGCTGCCTTTGAAGTTCCAACAGTGACTTATTTTGCATCAACAGAAATCTAAATGCAATTTTGAATATATAATCTAGATAAAAATGTGTACTTTCAGAGTCTCCAGTTCACCATTTATATATAGTATTAAAAATTAATGCAATGATATAATTTTGATTTAAGTTGTTAATTTCTAACACGAGGAATTTATCTTTTTTTTGTATGACTGAATTCATTGAGTTTCTCATGTAATCAAGACAAGTACCTATTTAAATAATTTTAGTTTCTACAACAGATTTCTGTAGCTATTGGTGCCCTTCTTGTTTCTACTCAGCATTTGTCCTTGCATGGTGAAGACCACTTATTTCTAATGCTGCAGATTCTTGGCCTGGATTTTCTCCTGGCCATGAGAACCTACTTGGCTTACACGAAGGGCAATTTAAAAGTGCTGGAGAGGGGCGCCTGTGTGGCTCAGTGGGTTAAAGCCTCTGCTTTCGGCTCAGGTCATGATCCCAGGGTCCTGGGATCGAGCCCCACATCGGGCTCTCTGCTCAGCAGGGAGCCTGCTTCCCTTCCTCTCTCTCTGCCTGCCTCTCTGACTACTTGTGATCTCTGTCTGTCAAATAAATAAATAAATAATAAAAATAAAAAAATAAAAAAAATAAAAGTGCTGGAGATTTTTTTTTTTTTTTTGAAGATCTATTTATTTGAGAGAGCAAGAACACAAGCGGGAAGGACAGAGGGAGAGGGGGAGAGAAATTCAAGCAGACTCTATGCTGAGCATGGAGCCCAACATGGGGCTCTATCTCACAACACTGAGATTACAACCTGAGCTGAAACCAAGAGTCAGACTCTCAACAACCCGCTCCACCAGGTGCCCCAAGAAGTGCTGGGGGTTTTTCTTGGAAGGAGCTCTCAATGAATATCAGGAAGAGAATTGTTGGATAAATGCCCCAAATTTCTCACTCATTTTGGGGATAAATCTGGGGTATGCTTTATACTGTCCCTGAGTTCCCAAGTAGAATGGAATTCCAATTCTCCATCGTGGAAATAGCTTGATAAACATATTTTTTATTGGTTTCCTTTCTATCCTTTTCTCATATCCTCATTCCTCTAAGGGTGTTTACTGGGATCACCTTTGAAATAAACTACTTGTGGTTGAATAGTTGTCTCGGGGTCTGGACCTGGGGGAACCCAAACCAAGAGTTCTTGAATTACATCTCAGGCCAGATGGAAATTCTGAGTCTGGTTTTCTGTGGCTGGAGCTCTTGCTGAGATTCTAGTTGCCTGACTTAACATGCACAAGAAACTTTGCTCTTTTGATCAGATGGAAGAATATAGTCCATGTGTACTATTTCTATACATGGCATTCTTGTCTTTGGGAACTGTTAAACATGAGCAGGGCATGAGCAGGGCATGAGCAGGACATGAGTGGATTGGAACAGTGCAAGGAATGAGCTATACCAGATATTTTTTCCTAGCATTATTTTATCAGAAGTTTTTAAGACTCATCAATCATTCTCATGTTCTATCCTTTTAGTCTAGCTGTCAGCTCTGGGAAGGTGTAAGCAGACAGCATCTTGTCATAGCTGCACCATGTATCTCTCATTTTATGCCCTGTGACTTCATTAATACCCCTGTATGTAATGTTCATAGAAGCCTGTTCAAGCATTCTGGTATATGCCCAAAGCTAGAGGTGCCAGAGATATTTCCTAGGGAGATCCCTGACCACTTAAGGAAAGGGAGCCATCAGATATATATTGCTTTCTTTTCTTAGGTTAACAAATGAGTTACGTTCTACACCATTCCTCAATGAGTCCCCAGTAGGACTGAGCTTTACTCACTCTGAGATTGCCTTTTCACTTCTTTGTTGTTTCATTTTTCCCAGTCCCCTTATTCTTGATCCATGAGATTACTTCTCCAAACAAATGACCTGTACACAAAGCTCTTGTCTCAGTCCCCACTTTTGGAAGAAGAAACTCAAGTAACACATGTACTAGTTGCTTCTTGCCCTAAGAAACTTAAAGTCAATCAGAGGATATTATATGAATCCAGATAACTGAAATAAAAATCAGTGAAACAAAAATATGCAATGGAATTTCAGAACCATTTAGATTGAATGAAAAAAAAAATAAGTCTTAGAAGTGATGGTTTTTCTATTGGACACTGAAGGAAGATTTTAACTTTGGATTTTTCAATGTGTGATGTTGGGGAATGGAAAGACCATTATAAATAGAGAGATGAAGAGAACAAAGACAAGAATATCCAGGACTATTTTGGGATTGGTGTCCCAATTTGACTGAGCCTTGTAGTTTATGAAAAATGACAGTGAGATAAAAGCATGAAAAGTTAGATTAAGATCGTACTGTCAAAGATCTTGAAAAGTTAAACTATGGAGTTAGAATTTAGGGATATAGAAAAATCATCATTTAAACTTTTATGACACAGGGGCGCCTAGGTGGCTCAGTGGGTTAAAGCCTCTGCCTTCGGCTTGGGCCATGATCCCAGGGTCCTGGGATCAAGTCCTACATCGGGCTCTCTGCTCAGTGGGGAGCCTGCTTCCTCCTCTCTCTCTGCCTGCCTCTCTGTCTGCTTGTAGTCTCTGTCTGTCAAATAAATAAATAAAATCTAAAAAAAAAAAAAACTTTTATGACACATTATACTGGAAGGGAACTTAAAACCACGAAACATATGCTAAAAATATATATAAAAGTACATGTTCTGGGGTACCTGAGTATCTCGGTCAGTTGAGCACCTGACTCTTGATTTCAGCTCAAGTCATGATCTCAGGGTCCTTCATCAGGCTTAGGGTGGAATCTGCTTGAGATTCTTTTTTCTCTCCCTCTGCCCCTCCCCCTACTCATGCTCAAAATAAATAAAATCTTTCTTTTTTTTTTAAAGCTCTTGTTCTGTAATGGAAGTTGCAATAGTTGTTAGGACTGGATTTTCCTGTTTTCTCCCGGGTGATTGCACTTCCTGTACTGAACTTCAAGATTTCATAATCAAGCTTCAATGCTCAGCACTAGTTGTGTACTAGTTTGCTAAGGCTAATGTAAAAAAAAAAAAGTACTACAACTTGAGTGGCCTAACCAACAGAAATGTATTAGCTGTTTTGTATTACAGTTCTGGAAGCTTGAAATCCAATATTAGGGTGTGAACAGGGTTAGTGCCTTTTGAGGGGTGGGAAGGAAAGAGCTGTTCTAGGCCTCGTCTCCTTGGCTTATAGATGACCATCTATAGATGACAGATGAGGGAGCACATCTGTCCATTCCTTCTATAGGGTAAGTGGAACTCATAATATACCAAAAACTGTCTAAATCCTCTTCTTTTTTTAAAATATTATTTTAAATATTTTTATTTATTTGTTTGACAGAGAGAGATCACAGGTAGGCAGAGAGGCAGGCAGAGAGAGAGGGGGAAGCAGGCTTCCCGCTGAGCAGACAGCCCAATGTGGGGCTTGATCCCAGGACCCTGAGACCATGACCTGACCCTGAGACCTTACCCACTGAGCCACCCAGGCGTTGCTCCAAATCCTCTTCTAATGTTTAACTCCTCTCATACTCTCCAACCCCATTTGTTGGTCAGCAAAGTGTTGCAAAACCAGTTATCTTGTCTCACACTTCACTCCAGAGACCTTCACTAAACTGATATTTAAAAAGTCCCATTTAAAAAAAATAGTCCCATTTTTATCAGTCTGTTATATTAATAAGACTACAGTGGAATGGGCATTTTATATAGTGATAATAGGAGGGCAAAGTAATTTGGATATATATAAAAAGGGCTTTAAAATAACCATGTTCTGGGCACCTGGGTGGCTCAGTCTTTAAGCAGCTGCCTTGGGCTCAGGTCAAGATCGCAGAGTCCTGGGATTAGGGCCCATCAGGCTCCCTGCTCAGCGGGAAGCCTGCTTTTCCCTCTCTCGTTCCTCCTGCTTGTGTTTCCTCTCTCTCCATGTCTCTCTCTGTCAAATAAATAAATAAAATCTTTGAAAATAAAATAAAATAACCATGTTCTTTGACCTGTAATTCTACTTTAGAAATCTAGCCTAAGAAAATAAGTTGAATGTGGACAAATATTTCCTTTTTTTTAAGATTTTATTTATTTATTTGACAGACAGAGATCACAAGCAGGCAGAGAGGCAGGAGAGAGAGATGGGGGGGGAAGCAGGCTCCCAGGGTGCCCCTGGACAAATATTTCTTACAAGTGTGTTAATTGCAGAGTTATTGTTAACAGTGAAAAATTTGAAACATTCCAAATTTCCAACAATGGAGAAATGTGCTGTGTTTGTTTAGTAACATTTTATAATCATTAAAAATAGTGTATTGTGGGGGTGTCTGGGTGGCTCAGTGGGTTAAAGCCTCTGCTTTTGGCTCAGGTCATGATCCCAGTGTCCTGGGATTGAGTCCCGCATCGGGCTTTCTGCTCAGCAGGGAGCCTACTTCTCCATCTCTCTCTGCCTGCCTCTCTGCCTACTTGTGATCTCTGTCAAATAAATAAATAAATAAATTCTTTTATAAAAAATGGTGTATTGTGTTAAGATGATACATTTTGTTATGTGTTTTTACCACATATGTTTTACCACAATCTAAAAAAATAATGTATAACATAAGGGAATGCTTACATTAAAATATAAATGAAAAACATAGGATACAAAAGTATACATGTAGGATGGTTTCATATGGTAGAAATATGTGGAGTAAAAGGTCTCATTGAAAATATACAAAAACATTATCATGGCTTGCTTGTGGTTGGTGCTTGCTTTTACTTTGATACTTTTCTTTTTTTTTTTTAAGATTTTATTTATTTACTTGAGAGAGAGAGAGAGAGAGAGAGAGAGAGCATGAGAGGGGAGAGGGTCAGAGGGAGAAGCAGACTCCCTGCTGAGCAGGGAGCCCGATGTGGGACTCAGTCCCAGGACTCCAGGATCATGACCTGAGCTGAAGGCAGTCGCTTAACCAACTGAGCCACCCAGGTGCCCATACTTTGATACTTTCCTATACTTGAAAAATTTATAGCCAACAAAAGGAAATATCAAAACTAAGTCTTTATTTATAATACACCTCTCCAGGAACAAAGGAGCTTACTGGCATCATTTTCCCCTGCTACTCCCCAGCATAAACACAGGGCCACCTGATGGAAGCAGCTCAGAGAGGACACTGGCTGCTTAACTTGCTTATCACAAGCCCCACCCCCTCTGTGCTCTGGTGGGACTGCCCTTCTCAGTCCCAATGCAGTGGGCCCTTTCCTGGAAAAACAGCACAAAACCTTGCCCACACCACATCTCCTGACCAGAGGGTTCTGTACAGGTCTCATGTAGTTAAAAGTTGCCACATTCAGGCCAAGGACCAAACACTACCCACAGTAGGCAGGGAGAGCCTTGGCAGGATAGAACAGCCAAAATACAACAGCAGAGCACACACAGTGTACACCAGAAACACTCACTGAAGCACCAGGCCCTGGGCACTATATGACCTCTTCTTCATAAGGCCATTACATTCAGA